GTCAATATTGTTCACTGTCCCAGTCAGTTACCAATTTTCCTGTCAAAAGGTTCACACTTTGGGCCTTAGCTTTAGCCTATTGTTGAGAACCTGTTTAACTGAAATAAAAATGTGTAATTCGCTTTCATGAACATTTTTTATAATGCCAAAGAAAACAGAGTAGGTAGTGTGCTCTGCTTTAAGCAAACTCAATATATGAATGGATTTACAATAAACTGAGGGTAGATTATTGGCAAAATGCTTCAACATAATTTTTAAACAACAAGCCTTTCTGAAACATGCTTAAAACCAATTAATCTATAGCCAGGTTTTCAGAACATGTCACATTAATCAGTTCACACCTTCCTCACTGTACAAAGAGCTTGCTATCTGAGTGCAGGCCTATTTTCTTGAAAGATCTTCTGGTCAAAAGTATTAGCACCAATAGGAACATGAACATAATAGATGTTTCAATAGCTTTCCCCTCTATCTGGCTTCCAACAAAATGAAAGTATTTGGGTAACTTTTGCCCTAACATATAGGTGGAGCTGGATTAGATACACAGTGAGACAATAGAAAACATTTTTAATGAATAAACAGCTTTTACAGAGACTGTCTATATTACATTGTTATTGCAACTTAGATGAGCTGAAACTTTTCTTTGCACAGATTTGGAGGAAAGAAAATCCTAAAGAGAAATCAAGCATAAAGAGGTAGTTGAATAGCAATATGGCAGAAAAAAAGCATTATCTTAATTCCCCTTTCAGTTCATTACAGTATGAGAGTAAAATGGCTGCTCAACAAACAACTGGAATAACAAACAGACATTTTTGCCAATGTTTCAATGGGTTGCTTGATATTTTACTCCTGGCATTACTGAGAATTGCATAAAATGATGTAACTAGTTTATCTAAGATAAGCCTGTGACGCCACGTTGACCTATTTGCTCTCCTTTTGTTTATTGTTGTTGCATTGACAATAGATGCCTGTTAAACAACTTTTTAAATGATGTATAAGCTACAGTGTTGCTTTGTAAACTTGTTTATCACATTTGCTGTGACAAATTTTTAAAAGGCTACAAAATCATGAAGCAAATCTTCAAAATGACACCAGGAACAGATATTACAGGCACTTCTCACTCAAGGTAAACTTAGTGTATTTGCAAATACCCAATTGTTAGTGAAAATGTCTTCATTTCACCTCTGAATGTGCAAAACCCAGATTATAAAATAGTTGAATGGCAGGAGCTATCATTCTAGGAGGAATTGAACACATACATTTTACACAGCTCTTTTTCCTTCTTCCTCTCTGCATTCAGGGAGGGCCACAAATTGCAGCCCAGGCAGCCGGCTGCTTTTCAGATCTGTCTTTGATCATGAATTAAAACCTCAACAAAAAAATTCTGCCTGTAAAAAAAAATTGAATATTCTAACCATTACTATTATATGTATTTTTTTAATTCAGGGGAAAAAATCCACAAGCTGGAGAACGGGCTGAAAAATCTGTCCTTGTCCATTATTTCAGCTGCTTTCCATTTGCATTTTTAGATGAGCCATACCTCTGCTATGATTCTGCCTTGGTAAACAAGAATGGAGGCAAAGTCAGCATGTTGAGAACTCAAGGAATAAGTCCCTGGAAAAAACTCCATCATGGAAATAGAGTCGGCCTAGGGAATCACAGTTCCCAGTGGATTCCAGCCCATCAACAGTGTGCAACCTGTTGACAGTTCAGAGACCTCTGGGTGCTGTGAGCCCGCCTCGGGAGTTCCATTGCTCCAATAGCCAGTCACAGGGAATTATCTGAGCCCAGGCAAGCTCCACAGGCAGAGCTGGAAGTGCCACATGTGCAGTGACTTGACTAGCCCCACAGACCTACAAGCAGTCAGCCTTCAGGAAAGGCAAATTGTTGAAATACTCAGTTCCCTGCCCCCCTAAGTCAGGGGTAATCACTCTTTTTTTCTGAATTGTCTACCAAAAATTAATTTTATCGGATTCCATTTTCTAGATTTTGCTGTTTGTTAGCTAGCAGCAGTAATACAGTACAAAGCAGAAAGGCATATCTGCCTGGTACCTAGTGTACACACACACACACACACACACACACACACACACACACACACACTCACACTACAATCTACTAGAAAAAGATTGGGTCCGATAAGACAGGAAAACCTAACCAAATAAATGGCGCTGTCTACCAAGGAGAAGTCTTGTCCTTCTGGCCTAAACTTAGCTTTATGTCTCTGTATAATCTTCATTCCTAAGCTTTGCTGCAAAATCAATGCATAAGAGGTGAAAATGGTCACGTCTAACTAATTACCCCATTCAAGTACCTCCCAAAGAAAGCCAAGGCTGAGCCTTGCATCCTGCCTCCCACCACTAAAACAGAAGCTTGCTGTAAAACCACCCAAATGTGTATCTAAGCTACTGAGAGCAAAGTAAAATTTTTCCTTGCCAAGATCTACATTTGCTGGAGTTACGTACTCACTTAACATGAAGCATTCTATGGTGTGGAATTTTATTTTAACAATTCAAACTTCCCTTTTTACCTAGATTAAGTAGAGATATGTTGGGTGATTTAATTTTACTTAACCTGCAACTTCTCACTGTGAGTTTCTAGGGTGCTTTTAAGTTGAATGTCATGTCTATTTAATAAAATTATGTATAACACAAACTATTTAAAATGTTAAAAATCTGCAAAGTAATGGGTTCAATAACAAGCTTGGCTACTTACTGGCTGACTATGTTACTTAGGCAACGTATTTACCATTGCAGAGCCTCAGCTTTCTCATCCAATCTGGAGACAATGTGATCTCACAGATGTGAGAAATAAAATGACTTAACAGGCTCATGTATGTGAAACCACCTGGCTCAGTACCTGGTACATAGTGGGTTCGCAATACATTTTTGTTGGGGCAGCATAAAGAAATACCATGAGCCCTGGGCTGGTTTGGCTCTGCGGACTGAAAGGTCCAGGTTCGATTCCGGTCAAGGGCATGTACCTTGGTTGCGGGCACATCCCCAGTGGGAGGTGTGCAAGAGGCAGCTAATCGATGTTTCTCTCTCATCAATGTTTCTGGCTCTCTATCCCTCTCCCTTCCTCTCTGTAAAAAATCAATAAAATATATTTAAAGAAAAAAAGAAATACCATGAACTAAGCACAAAAGTCATAGATTGTAAAATTCACTCATCCTGGCATGGCCAAGATTTTAAATACATTTTGGAGAGCAGGGAGTGATGAGTTGGTTATTCTAATGGAACTAAAACTTAAGGCTTCCATTTAATTAGAAATTTTAGACCTCCAAACAATACTACCTTTTAGCTCCATTGAAATAAAAAAAATGTGCCGACTCAGAATTCTCCTTTATCCCTGAGCCTTATTTGTTTCCTAGTCTTCTCACTTTCCAAAACAGACTTGACTCCAAAAGGAACTATCTGTAAAGCATCAGATTATGGTTCAATACTCAGTGGTGCAACTGAGTTTAAAGGGGCTAGAGATGGGTATTGTGTGTAAAGGTAGCATTTTATGCAAATATGGGGCCCTGATGAAATTCCGTAACAATGAATAATCTAATCATATCTATTATTTGTTGAGTGTCTCCTATATGCTAGGCATCCTGCTAATTGGTTTACATATATTACCTCATTTGATGTTCATAACAACCCTATATGTGGTATTTATCATTACTATTTGCCAGATGAGGAAACGGGGGCTCAGGAAAAAAAGTGAAATCACAAAAGTAACACATCTAGCAAGTGGAGATGCTTATGACCCTTTTTTGGGGGGTGGGGTACATTTACACTAGATAATAGGAAACTGTTATACTAGGACTGTGTTATGACCACATGGTGTGTACCAAGTTGGAGGGGTAGTCTGTAATATAATGCTCCTGGAGTCTGGTAGCTTTTGCTTGGGCAGTAACCATGCCTGTCCTTCCATTCTTCATCAGCCCAGTCTGGCTCCAAACATCAAACCTGGTAACATGATGCTCTGACAACACAGCATCCATTAAGAAAGTGAAGATTATCTCATTCTGCCTTTTCTGTTTCTGGCCACAGGTGATGATGCAAGAAGTCAGAGGGATTACTTGAGGCATTAACCTCTCACCTTAAAAGAGTGGACGGGCTTCAAATAAACAACGCACTGCTGCAGTTCTGAATCACGGTGAGGAGGGGGATGGTCATTTTCTTAAATGCACAAATGGCATGATTCACTTCTTCCCTGCCCTAATCTTTTCACTCTTGTCATTATAACACTCCCATACATATGCCATTTTTCAGGTTGGCCTGGCACTAAAGGAACCACACTAACTCTAAAGCAAGCTAAACCAGGGCTCACTCTTATCTCCTTACCCACCATTTGGCCCAATGCAACTAGGAGGAAAGGCAATTGTTAGATAAAATCATGAATTAACTTTTTGGTTCCTTTAAAAAGATTATAAACACCAAAATGATAGTTTAGGTTGTTTTTTAAGCATTTTACCTTTTCTACCAGCTTCTTTGCACTTTTCATAATGGACAGTCCTTCATCAAGTATTTCCACACATGCTGGCCAGGCTGTGACCCTCAGAACCCTGAAAAGAGGCAGGGTATGGAGGCTAGTTGGCCTCACTGTGACATTCCTAACTGAAAACCATTCCCTCAGAAGGGTTAAATATTATCTTGTCTAAAAAGCCCATTCCTAACTGAACTGGGGAGAGATAAGAAACACAGAATTAGATTGCCCAGATAAATGCCTATAATAGCCTGCAATAAAGGACACTCTTCTGATTCATTGCTTCATTCTAGAAAAATAATTCCTTAAGCCTTGCTCTGTGTAACACATAGAAAATGGATGGTTTTACTTTATCCTGGCTTATTCTACAATCTATGGCAAATCCCTTAAGTATTTTATATTGTTCCTTTAAGCATCCAATTAGAGAGATACAAAAATAGTTCAAGAACTGGGATCAAACCTAGTAAAAAATGGTTAAAGCAAAAATGGCACATTTCTAGTATTGTTACTTCCTTCTAGTTACATGGTTAACTACATCAATAAATAAAGCAAGTGAATTCAGTAATGCACACTTAAATAGTTACAAACATACATGTAGAAAAAAAGGATACAGTAGTGCAAAAAATAAATTATTAAAACAGAAAGGAGTATAAATATTATTTTATACAATGCTTTATAAAACCTGAACTATTTGGAATAGGACCTCAAGTCAGTGAAATAATGCAGCAAGATTATTACTATCTTTGCTTCACATTTCAATCACACAGTCATTCACTGATGAAAGAAAGAGAATTAAAGCAAAACCACTTTAAACTTTCAGAAAATTTTATGTCAAAAGCAATTTTTTTCTGGGCTCTTGAACACCTCTGCTGTGGCTATAGTTGTGCAGCATGTCAAGTAGTATCTCAACACAGGAAGTTTCTAACAGGTCACATTCTTTGGTCTTTCAACTGAATTTCTCTCTATAATCAACAGCAAGGTAGTGCCTCTATTTGATACTTCCTTCAGTTAAGATGTTATTGCAATTTGATATATTTACAAGATGACTCCCCTAGGCAGTAGAGAGGGTGAAATTTCCTTTTCATCATTTCACTCTCACTAGTTTTGGTTTCGTGCTATAAAGGCGAGAATGCGCCGAATACCATTCAGTCTATCCTTCAAGGACCTCATTGCTAGGAACGGAAGCTGAGCACGGCTTTCGAGCGGCAGAACTGCCAATATCCACCAGCACCAGGCTGGACCATTTGGATTAATCTGCAAAAGAGAAACAAAATGAGTTCATCTTATTCCTGTGGAATTGACATCAATGTGCAGGTTTGCAAAGTAGCAAGGTAAATATCCCAGGTGAAACTGCTTCTGTGTGTAGCAGAGACTGATAATTGCCCTTGTATCTACACTGAGTGGCCAGATTATTATGACCATACAGCTTATTATGACCACCTCATCAATACTTCATTGGGCCACCTTTTGCCTTCAATACTGTGGCAATTCTTCTTGGCATTGACTCCACCAGATGTTGAAAGGTGATGCGAGGAATCTGACACCATGCCTGATGAACAGCACTGTCCAATTCTGTGAGATTTGATGGTTGTGGAACCAGCTGCCTGATGGCTCTTTTAACTT